ATATATAATTATATTCTCTCTTTCTTTTGCGGACTTACGGGGATATATATCTATTATAGTATAAACGTTTGTCGGTCGTTACTTGAAAGAAAGAAGAGAGGTAAGGGGAAACAAAAACATTATTTTATTAAACAGACGAAATAGTAAGAAAAAATCATGCTAATTGATTTCTAATTCTTATAAAATTGATTGTTTCTAATAAACTTCTAATAAAGTTGGTAATTTAAATATGTGAAGGCGTTGCCCCTCGAGGGCTGTGGGAAGTGGTGCAGTAACGCGGGGTGTGGTGTGCAGCTGGCGTACCTGTCGGAGGGCGAGCTGGAGGCGCGCATGGCGCGGCTGGACGCGGAGATGGAGGCGGAGATCGAGCAGCTGCGCGCGCGCTACGACCGCAAGCGCCGCCCCATACTCGACGCCATACACCTCAAGCGCAAGCGACAGCAGAACTTCTAGCCGCGCCCTAGCCCCGCCCCTCCGCCCCCGCCCCGCCCACACCCGCCCACACTTGCTGAATACAGAGCTCTGCTCATAGTATTTACTAAATCGCAACGCAATAGGTCAATTTCAATAGATAGAAGCTCAATTGAAACGAGTTAAAAATGAAGCAAAACGGAGTGTTTTCTAGTAGTATCTTGTCAATTTTGAAATTTCTAATAGCTATCTAAATCTAACTATGAATTATGTGAGGAATTTAGTGAATTTCCTAAAATACAGCTTATGCAATGTACAGATGGAAAACTCAATTTAAACTTAGGCGTAGGTGAGAAAATAATAGTAATTGGTTGGTGGCAAAATGGCAAAATGGCCAAATTAGGTTTTTTATACGCGGCTGTCAAATGTGACATAAGTAGGTGCTTTATGTAGAGGTGCCAAAGTTTTTCGAAGCGTTTAACCGGCCACCTTTGTTCCTAATACGTAAGAATACTCTCATTGTACGGCTACTTAACTTTGTACAGTCGGACAAATACGTTGTGAAAAAACGCGTAACGGAGATGCACTTTTATATAGTCTGTGACACTAAATACCATTTTTATGTGTAAATCGGGCAGAATTAACTTCGATAATAGCAAGTCTCAGGAGAAAAGTTTGTGGAACTATACTTTAGTTGTTAAGTAATGTAAATTAAGATATAGTATAGCATTGAGGAGACATATCCGCGGCCGCTAGATGGCGTCCTGTCCTAGGCATAGATTATCAGTGTATCTGCCATAGACAAGCAACATAGAGTAACTATTTTTGTTTGACAAGTGCATTTTCGTTGAGAAATTATATTCATTGTTTGCTTAGGAAACTTAAGGAGATGAAATAGTAAATATTGTAAATAATCCTTGAATTAATGAATCAAGTACACTTTTGTTACTAAGTGAAATATTTGCCGCATTTTTGTTTCTATTGTAACTTATATTATTGAATCTATTGATAGTGTAGGTAAAGGCATTTTTTTACATTAATTATTAATGAATTTTTAAAATATCGATTTAATGCTCAAAATGGCGTCAATCGGACGACGAATTTAGTTTGTTTCGGTCTAAAAAATACTTTTTATGGGTTGTTTTGCTTTGACAGAGAAACAGAACATGCTTGTATATTGTAATAAATACATGACAATATTATTGTAGATAGTTGATAGTTTTAGTTTAATTGCATTTCATTTAATTGTGTTAGATTCTTTCGATGTCCTCATTTCTAACTATCGTTTGTTATGTTCCTTGTTGGATCTCAGGAGTGTGGTTGCGCAGATTGTAACATAATTATATAATAGATTATATTCACATTTGTAAATTATATGACCTTAGTGGGTTGTGAGTTTATGAATCGATTCAGAGTATTCGCGATGATAGTTGCAAAGTAATTCCCATAGATTTATAACCTATAAATTTAGTGTTTCATAAAGTTTTGACGTTTAATCGAGACACTAAAGTCTCAAGGCCTTTTTATCGCCTTTTATGGTCTGGATTTGGTATCCAACTATCCGGCGAGTGCAGCGTGTTGGCACAATGAGCAATGACACACTATGCCAGTTACTGTAGACGGTGCTAATGCTTTTGACAAATGTAGTCGTTACGTCGGTTAATTAATATTACATGTCTACATTCAAACAAATATAGAAGTGCCATTAAAATAAATTGATAGTATTTTCGTATGCGAGCAATAGTTTTAGTGATATTAGATGTTTTGTCGTATTTTTTGATCGAAATAGTTGATTTTGTGCCATTCGCGGTTGGAACACACGAAGAGAGGTGACATATTTTTTAAAATTGTACGAAATTTGCAAAAAAATAATTTGGAACGAAAATTTTTAAATGGACGATATTTTTACAATAAACGAAATAATTTTAATAACGTTTTGGCAATTTCTGTAAGATGTGAAATGTTTGCGCCCGGAATTTTTAAACACGATTTATAAAAAATAAAACTTGTCAGTTGTGATAATTTCCCGCGCATACATTTTGCAGTACAGAGTAAATAAAGCAATAATCGGCCTACAATATATTATTGGATGAACATGTTTACGAATGTACAGGGTAACGTTGTAGTAGGTATAAATAATAAATGGCTTGGAGCAGTCAGCTGACTGAGGACGCGGTCGACTCTACCTGTATTTTGTTTTATTTGAGTTTATGTCGATATTCAATGTTTTGTGTACAAGTTGTTGAATTAAATTAGCATTTTGTAAATCGGTCCGTGTGTTTACTATATCGAACGGATGTTAAACTCCAACACACGAGCGGTTAACAAAACTAAAATTATAATTCTTTTGTAATAATTTGTCATTTTACAAACTTTCCTAATTAAAAACTGCTCAAACCATGTGTAATTATGACCGAATCAATGACATTTAAACATATAACAGTGTTTTAGATAAGGACACTTAAACTCTGAATTCAAGTTAGTAACTAACGAAGTGGCTCGAGTTGAGTAATGCTTCTATAACTCAATGTGAACTGAATGGTTGAAGACAAGTCAGTGCCGACACTCGGCTAATTTCACACGAGTTGAGCTGCTTTTAATTAATTAATTTAGTTTGTTATGTTGTATTGTCGGCTCCCCCCCTGCCGGTCAGTCAGTCGGTAGTGAGAGGAAGTGCACTTTGTAGGCTGTCGCTGTCGACATCTTATAGCCGAGTACGCATTATATTTTTGGACGGACGACTCACAGATTAAAGAGGATAAATATAATGAAAGTCTTTTATTTTTTCTAAACATGTTTAATAAAGCATAAACAGGTAAAGTAACAGTACAAGATCTTAGAATTTTTTTTTTAGTTGACTAGTACAATTTTGATAAACCATCCGGTTCGAGAAATAAACTAAGTTACAAATAAAATATCGGATGATTATAAGTTCTGATATATAAATATATAGGAAGACCTTAAATAAATGATATAAAGCCATAAATTGTAGAGTACACAGCCGCAAGCCCGGACTGCCACAGATAACGCTATCCTTGTCGGCTGCGCCGTGTTGATCTGACCGCTTATAGTTAATTAAACAATATAATACGGCGTGCGCAATTGTACAAATACTTTGTGTAGGTAAACATCTAATACATATAACATAAATCTATTTATATGAATATATCGATTTTTTTAAATAACTAAAATAATCTACAATCAAAATATGTCTTTATAATTTTGATAATCTTTAAAAATTTTAATTGACAATCTTCTTTGTACGGTTTTTACTAAAAATAAATGTTGCATTATTAATAGTTTACGAGGCGAGTTACATGTAACAAAAAACCTGCATTTTTAATACAAATTATTAACAAATACATTATAGTTTCCTGATATCTTGACGGATGTTAATTGCAACCGCAAAGATATTTGCATAAGAGATGGAAAAGAAATGTCAACTTAAATGGTTTGTTTTTGCTATGAAATATACAAATGTATGAGTGCATAAAATCTTAATTATACTTTACAATTCTTGTTTCAACACTTACAGAGCCTATATATTCGATACTTATTACGATATAAATTAAATCTAAGTATACGGCGGGAGAGTAAATGCTGTGCCAGTCTGTTTAACTTACGAGATAATAACAATAAACATAAATGAAAAATATTAGCTGATAGAATGTCAGATAAGTCGTGTTTAAAAACTTAATATAAAATTAAAAAAGAAAGAGAAAAACTAAAATTAAACATATATTAGTAAAGTCTTTTTCACAATAAAAATAACAGTTTCCTGTTTTATTTTTGATTGACAGAAATTTAGTCGACCGAGGAAGTGTATAGGATTTTTTTTAAATGAAAAAATCTAGCATTGAACTAGTAAGGAACATGCATGTAATGCTTTGGCAGTGTCTCAAAGGTACAGATTATATACGGAAATGCTTGTTCCAATATTGTCCCCAGTTTTATTTGACAAGAGCCATTCCCAGTCTCGGTTAGTGCTAAAAAGTCGTCAGATCAATTCAACAACAGGAAACTCTCAATTGAATAATTCCATTGACGATAAACGTACGCATTACGTTACAATTCGTTACATACTTTGTTCAAAATGTGCTGAAATACGAGCTAGGAACTAAAACATATCAAGTCATTCATTCTTTGGCAGTTCTTAGATCCAATTTCTTTGTCAAAGAATGTTTTTTATATAATAATTTTCGCTTATGCTATTTTTTATTTCCCCTATACGTATTTAAGGCGAGTTGCACTATATTTTTATCCCAAAATTCTAGGACAAAGAAATTGTACAAGCGTAACATACTACTCAAAGGCGGACCAAAGAAATTACTCAAGTTACGTTAATACATTTAAAATTATATAATTAAACGAACCTAGAAATAGGAATGCATCTTTTTACCTTTATAAAATGGCCAATATCACTTTTAAATTAAAAAATAACAATAAAGACAAAAAAAATCAGCCAACAAAAAAAAGTAAAAATTACATTGCAATGTCTATTATCTACAGTCTCATGCCTCTGTAGAGGTAAAGCTTTCATTAGATAAAATCACAGCTAACACGGAATAATGTTTTAAAAACATAATATCTTTTACAAAACAATCTCACTACGAAATGATCTGCCCTTGGGACAGCATCTACTAGTTAATCTTAAATACATTTTAACACATAATAATACTAGAGTGACCAGAGATGCCATCAGAATGCCACTCCTTTGGTATGATAAAACATTTGCTTAGCCTAATAGTTAACTGTTATAAAAGTTTCTTTGAGTGAACAGTTCTGTTGTTTAGCTGCCGACGGCGCTGCAGCTGTCTCTCGCACTGTCAGTGTCTCAATATCATCTGACAGTATACATAGCTGTCGAGCACTGAAAGAAGATGGAACACCTGAACAAAACCTTACTTGCTTAATTTGGTTAATATCCTATCATGATATCTATTAAAAAGCTAACATACATCTCCACTAAATGTTTGCAAATAAAATGCCTAAATTTATTTTATAGACATAATTTACAAAGATTATAGACAGACACAAAATTCCATATCTCTAGTCTGATTCTGGAAATAATTGTATGGTAATGTGACATAAACTCACAGTACTGGACAAGGGTGAGTGCGAGCTCGTAGCGCAGCAGTAGACCGGTACCGTGCAGCACTGCGGCGCTCACAAATGCGTACACAACGCGAGCACCTTCAAACAGCGAGTCCAGTAGCAACCAGACAGTGACAGCCCGCGCCCGCTGACTGCGGCTCAGCATCACCGCACTGTTCACCACACCAATCACACTCGCCAACACCATCATGCCACATATCAGGTAGTGCACAACTAAAACAAACAACTCTGCTTATATTTTGATTATTATGACCAGAGAGAAATTTGCTATAGAAAAGTAGAACTCTGGTATAGAAACATAGTACTAAGTTGGAAATAAAATTGTCTTATTTATATATCCTTTAAGAATAGAAATTATGTATCCTAAGCATCTCTGTCAAGTCCATTTTCCTCTATTGTCCCTTTCTTAAATAAAAAAGGATCTTGCCATCATTTTAAAAGAAAGAGGATTCATTCATTCATTCCTCTGAAAGGGAAATTGTAACATGTACTTACTTAGATCAGTTCCTACTAAATCTTTCTCATAAAATAGATAGGGATTCAGCAGCCGGGCCACAGTGAAAGCAAATGCACTTATGGCTGACACCTGTAAAATTAAATAAACAAATATGATATATTAGTGGATATTACATTAACTACATTTATTACATTTAAATTACTTTTAATATAGTCCAGAATTGAAGTATAACATTTAACAACAAACACTAACACTATTAGTTTTAATCATGCAATTTTCTTACTTTAAATTGATAAAAACTGAGAAAAAACATGATGAGCATGGAAATTAATGAAATAAATAACAACTTAAATATCATAGTAAAGTGCTCTAAAGATGTAGGGTATATCATTTATTTTTATTGTAAAGGGTATCACATACTCACAATAAAAATCGATGATACAACACGAACGTATATCGGTAAATTCGCATCTTCCTCTTGGTCTCGAGGTGAAGGCATTGTTAATTGTGTGTAAATAATGTACTGGACTATGTGGATTCAAGTGATAAAGATACGATTCTAATTAAACTTAGTTATTGTAAAATAAATAAATCAATATTTATAATGGAATATTGTGCACATAACTTCTGTCAGCTATCAAAAATCACTTTGACAAATAATCATTGGTGTTGCTGTAAATTAAAAACGAAATTGCAAGTTTAATCGTTTAGTGTTGCAATCATAAAGATATTCTTAATGTTATTCTTATAAAATATACCGTGCACGGTAATCCTAAGGATAAAGAAACCTGTTTTTCTTTTACTGAATTTACCTATAGAAGTAGAAATAAATTGCAAAAATTAATTTTACAATTTTCGCAATTTAGATTACTAAATATGTCTCAGCGCCATCTATTTTGCAAAGTTGCATTGTTTCATTCTGTTTGATTTTTTCACTAATAGAGGTCGGTACGAGTTACTTAGCGGAAAGACTTAATTTTTATAATACTGATTATTTTTCGGACTAAAAGTTGGTAAACGAGATGTGTCCTACATTGTACATAGTTTTATGCGACCGCCCTTCATATATATCTGATAGAACATAATGTAATTATAAAGCGTTGCCAGGGCTTATTAGTTACAGGAGAAGATAACTAGAGCGAGAATATTTTCTGCTCTTTCTAGTTTTTCTTCCTGTTTTTCCCTTAATAGAAAGAACGGCCTTAACCACGCTCATTTCTCGGTATGTAAAGGGATGGTCGGAATGACTTCTACGCTTGGATAAAACATTTATCACAAACACAAATGTTTAATTAAATAATCATTAACATTTTATACAATTACTTTTTGTGAAACATAATTTGTTATTTTATAGAGAGTAATGAACAATAAACAATTGAATTTTTTAAACAGAGTTTTCGCGCCAATTCGCTTCGTCACAGCTGTCAGTCAATCGTCACTGTACTATAGTCTCAATTTAAATGTAGCAATTAAATATTTATTTGAAAGCGGCAGTTACGGCTGTCGGCAAACACAATTAGAATTAAATAATTTGCATGTTTCTTTACATCAGATGTGTATACCCCTCGATATTAATGATCTTTTTGCAGTTACTAGGGCAAATCCTGTTTTCCAAATTGTAAAAAAATGAGAATGTTTTTAAGTTTGTCACCTTAGCGTTGCTGATCATAGCTGAACATGAAAAATTGATAAGATGTATTTTGTAATATAAATCCTTATTACTATTAAAGGGAATTTAATCAATGCATGTTAAAGTTATTGTTTTAAATCCTCAAGATGATTTGATGCTATAAATCAACAGGTTAGGTGAGTGCTTACCGAAGTGCACGCGACGTGCGATCCAAATTTAAATTAGGAACTAGGGAAAGGGTCCGCGAAATAATTGTCAAGGCACGCGCGATCATTAGCTGACATTCATCGCGACCCACTCGATTCAATAGACTCGCCCCAATTAATTCGATTATAAATTTACGAGATGTTGCCAGTTATAAATTTAGTTGAATTGTCGATAGCCGCGGCCGGCTGATGGATTTATTATTTGTTGGAAGCGTTATAGTTTACGATAACAGTTTTATGATAATGCGATATTCATTTTATAATATTCAATTATAATTGACTACAAATAGGCTTAACATATGCGCTAAGAATTAGCTATCTGAGTAATTTTGTTCTTATTTTTTCACTAATTTTAATTTCGACAAAAAGAAATCGGTCAGATCTATTCCTGGGCAGTTATTTGGTTTAATAAGTTTATTAGAAGATAGAATTAGTTTTCTTAAAGATTCTTCATTATTCTAATTTTCATTGGAGCTTATTTTGTACGGATCGCTGTAATTATTTTATAGTAAGAAGTAAATAATAAATTGAAACACATATAGAGAAACTTTTATAACAGCCCACGAATTTAGGAGGGTTTTATTATTTTAACTATTAATTTAATTACAATTCGTATAGAGTGCATCACAATTGACTTGTGCATGTTTTCTTTGGCAATTCTACGAAATGAAGCGGTCAGTTGCGTGGTCACTTAATTTACTTGCATCTAATAACATTGTGGGAGATTATACCTTATGTTGTAGCCGATAAAGGTCAATAGGGTGAAAGGGTCGCAGCCCCAAACTGCGGCACTCTAATTGTGCGGCAATAAAACGGTATGGTCAGTGATGTCCAGTAGCTAGTGGGTAGGTGGTCGTGATGCAAGCAATTTCGTTACAATAATATTCTTGCCAGTCTCTTTATGAGCATGGATTTAAACGTTTTGATATTTTTCTAGCAAAATATTAGTTATAAATAACAAAAACGTTTTCAATTAAAAGGACGTAATCTAAAACAGTAAAAATAACTTAATGTTAAGAAAGCGTTCAGTATTAAAGATTTTTTTTATAATATAAGATGGCAAACTAGCAAGCGTTCACCAAAAACCGAAAGCGACCGCAGCCCATAAACATCCGCAATTGCAGATGCGTTGCCTACCCTAAATTGACGGAAGAGGAGACGCACATAAAGAGGACATTTTCCCTTCCTATGCGTCTCCTCCACCGTCCAATTCACTTTTCCTTCTCATCCTTTCCTCTTAAGAAAAGGGTGGAAAGGGAAAGGGACTAAAATTAGGCCTCCGGCACCACACTCGTCAGACGAAACGCGGAATTGCTCCCACTTCACGCCTGTTTTCTGTGTGGTCGTGGTATTACACCGAGCGAGCCGGTTAAAATAATACTTTTTTTTTGACTTGGAAAAGAAGGCTTAACAATAGAGTCGTGCGGCATTTAAAGGCAATTTTACACAAAGTATCAAGATTGATAAGCTGATGTACGCTACTTTTGTACTTCTACTCGATGATACTTTTATATGCAGATATCAATATAAATAATAAAAGTGTTTCAATGTTTGCTGCCATAACTCAGCGGCGGCAATGGGGCGGACACATCGCACATTACCCATGTATGAATATCATGTGTTCGCTTATCAATAAAACTTATTATTTTAATCATTATTTGAATACGACCATTATCATAAGTGTTACCGCAAAAATGGATAAAAGAATATTTTCCTTAAGTATAATATTGATTTCCATTATTAAAAATATATTACTGCATAATATACAATAATAATATAATAAACTTCAGTCGCCAAAGATTTATACAAATAAACGAATAAATTAAGAAAAACAGCACTAAACCCATGCAATTTTCATAGTTGAGAAAGAATAACAAATCCTTGTCGTTTTTTCTGAATATAAGCTTACTCGTACAATAATGGTTAAAAAAAATTAAACTCTGTTCACATTCACTTTGCTCAAACAAACTTATAAATTAGTACCAATGCGACAGACGCGTTTTCCCGACGTATGTCGAATGCGATGATGAATCATTATCAATAACATAGTGATCTAACTCGATTACCTCCGCCTCCACCTCTGCCTCCACCTCCACATACACGTCCGCCGCTTCACTGACAACGCCACAGTTTAAATTAACGAGAGGGTTCAATTCTAAATCGATTCATCAATTATCACTCGTACATCATTTTTCATATATAAATTAAATTACGTCTGTATGAACTATTGTATGGATTATTGATTATTTATTTAGTTAACGCATTACTTTCAGCATTGTTTTGGAAATTTAAAAAGTTTAGGTGTTTTAACTTGACAGTGATACTATTGTAGTTAAAAGTTGTCTAAGAGTATACTCTGGTGCATATTCCAGTGACGTCATGGGAACAATCAATACAATACCTGTATGCGGTTGTATTGATCCCCCCTCCGCTCCCCGCTCAGCGTCACATAACGTTATGACGTCACGTGACGTGAACATCACTAAAACATATTTTATGACGAGAGACTTTTAGTAATCATTTAAATTTTAATTACAGAGAAAGCTTATTAATAACATTAGGGGCAAAAGTATTATTTTAATTAACACAAAACATTATGTGGCTATTTTGAAATAAAAAAATGAAAAGTTAGTACTCAACAACATATTCTATCCATCGGTCCAATGGTTCCATGGTGTAACGGTTAGCACTCTGGACTCTGAATCCAGCGATCCGAGTTCAAATCTCGGTGGAACCTGTTATTTTTATTCGTTTAATTTTATATTTTCAAATTTTTCTCTTGATGGAAATTAAAAAACGAAATGCACAGTTTAATAAAAACATTATAATTTTCAAATCGCTCAAAGATTAACTAAATACATACGTTGTTGCTATATATTGCTAGAAAGACTTTCTTTGCTCTTTGTCTTTCACAGAGTTTCTAACTTCATAGAGGACTCAAGAAAGTAATTTAAGATATTTGATAGCATTGACTCCTCTCCGTGTTTACTAGGATAATTATTGTTTTCCATTTATGAAGACGGTGTGGTAGTTTACCACGGGTTATTATACTTTTGTCCGCCTTTATTCGTCCATGACTATACCTGATCGATTTTATCATGTCACTGATCATTCATATTAGGTTCATAAAAGCCAATACAACCGATTCTTTGTTGTAAATTGAAATTTGACTCCATTTTTAACTGTTCATTGTTAAATTGGTTTTGGTGTGTTAATAAACTCTTGCATTAATTTTTAACCAATAAATAAGACTTTCGTCAGGTTGTGTTTTAAAAAGCTTTTATATTTTATATTAAAGTTACAAAACAATTACAAATTCATGCATTTTTTATGAAAGAAAAAACATCATATCTACGGCTTAACTGTTAGGTATTTGTACCACATAGGTCTTTTGTAATATTTTGCAAGTACTTGTTATTGTCAACATAAACGGTAATCCTTCATTGTACATCTTTTGTTGAAGTTATTATCTTTGAAATGTTTGTAAAGCATTTCGTACTTAACGAGTATTGAAGATTAAAGTATGCACTAAAAGCAATTAAATATTTTTACTCATTATTCAAAAAAATATTAGAAAGGCGCGTGGCGGCGCGTGGCAGGACATTGTGGCACGTGGCAAGCTATGGCGGCGCGTGGCATTGCACTTGTGTGACGAAAAACACACACACTAGCGAGTGTATATGCATTCATTAATGGTTTTGAATTTCGAACGCTGAGAGCTTTTTGGGATTAAAAATAGTTGAAAACATATTTTTCTTTTATGGCTTAAAATTAGAGCGTAAAAAGAAACATCCCTTCCCTCTAGTAATCAGAAAAAGTACTTAATTGTGTTGGTTGTAAAATTGGAGGGATGTATTCACATAGTATGATGTATAATTGCAACAATCAATGTTCATTTCACGGGGCATCCTGCAAACATAAAATCAGAACTTTCTTTGAATTGATCGATTTCATTTATTACATCTACATGCAGCACTCCCTTACTTTCTATGTTTAGTACTCCATTCCCTATATATCTTTACATAAAATCTATAATAATACAAAGACCACACCGCCATGGAATTATTTCATATTTGACGTTTTTAGCAAGCACTATAATAGGTTTTTTTTCAATTTACATATAGATAAGTACATATATGGCATAATTCAAAAGCCTAAAATTATTTCACGTCTTTGATGACATCCATTCTATCAAGTTAAGTCGTCACACGCTATTATCTCCCTTATACCGATGCCAATAAAATGCATAATTTTTTATCTGGCACCTCAAAAACTGGGGTGGGCAGTGTATGGTGATTAATTCGCGGTCACGTGGCCTGCGCGTGGGTAGCGCGGGAGTTTCATGTTCCCACGTACGGAATGGCGGGAGAAATGACAGTTTTACTTGCCATATCAAATATTGGCTTAGTAAATACATATTTTTATGGTAGTGTTGTTTTTAACGTAAGTGGTATTGGATTTTTTAATTTGTTTTGATTTTTTTATAGCATTGCGTATTTGATAGAAAATTAATGTAAGTAAATATGCTTTTATATACTCTATATCAAATACAACATTTACTCAATAGGGAATATTTAGGGTGTCCCCTGTTATTTATAAGATAGTTGCGTAGTAAGGAAAAATCACAATAAAATAGTGCCACACAGATGTGTGGCATTATTTTTTGAGATCAGATTAAAATATTTACATGTGTCTTATGTGACTGGTGCGTACGTGCTATTGCACGCACTATGATTTATCGCCAGCGAAGGCGATAAGATGTCCACTCCGTATCGTTTGAGACCACACAATGCTTGGTGACTTTTTACATGCTGTTTCACAGGTAATGATGAATCTTATCTTACTAGTATTATATATTATCTGTTGCTCGCGACTTCGCCCGCGTGATAATAAAAAAATAATAAGAAATATAGTCTATGTTACTTACAAAAAACGTAGCTTTTTAATAGTGAAAAAACTTTTGAAATCGCCCCAGTATTGTTTGAGTTATTTCAATACATACAAAAATACAAAACTTTCCTCTTTATAATATTAGTATAGATGCGAAAGTATGGATGGATGTTTGTTACTGCACAGATGAAGATCATGGTGTGGCATAAGACATAGACTACTTAGGTAATTCTGCGCGACTGAAGACGCGGTCAAAAGCTAGCTTTTATTATTTACACTCCCGGCTTTCGTATTTCCGTTCATTTACCCTCGCATTTAATTAATAACTTAAATTGTTGTGAGCAAATTTAAAATGAGAAACGTGGGGTGAAAGATATACGTGGGTGTTTAATTTAGTTTTAATACGAAAGGCAATAACATTCCCTTTATGATTTGTTTCTTCAACTTTTCAACAGTAATTTATATATATTACAAAGTTTTACACACCAGAAATGCTTTTTTAAATTAATATAAAAAAAAGCGTTAATTTACCTATTTACAGGCTTCGCAGTTTCTAATTACTTCGCGTGAAGGATTTCATTGGTAATTAAGTTGACATTTTTATGTTTTCTTTTAATTACATACAGTTATATAAATTACCTCTCCCTGTTTCATTCCTGACGCAATAGGTTTCTTATAACTTTTAAGAAATACAAATGTCACGCTGAACTGTCTTGTTCACGTGTAGAGACACGGGCAGCGGACACGGGGATTGTCATACGACAGCTCGCAAGAAAGTAATACGAATATGGCGGTCTGAATCAGGTGCCTAGACGCGCCAGTGAAAACGGGGTGAATACGTAACGAGAAAATCTTAATGTTTTTGGCAATTATTGAAAAACCTATTCAATTGTATCATGTAAAACTGAATAATCTATTTCCTCCACCACGTTCTGTGAATGTTTTATGAAAATATGTTTTTTTTATTGTTTTAAACATATGTTTTCCTTAGTAAAGAAGCAGGGTTCGCCAGTCTATTAATAAATTTAGTTTATATATTAACCAATCTAATGTGTAGTTTAATGGATTCTACATATTTTTGTAGGTAATGAGGTCAAATCGAAGTATGCGGTAGTTGTATTGGTTTTCCTGGGTAAATTCAAACTAATGGACAAAAATAATAAATTGCTATACAACAATATCCGATATTTATCTACTACGTATTTATTGAACTTTTAAACAATGTTTATTTTGGTATTTATAACATAAATCAATTAAAAATGACTTTTGAAAAACGTTACACCGGACCGACAATCGAACCGACAAACGTCGGTACAACAACTAAAGTAAAGGCACTACGTGTTAATGTCGCGGTTGACGACGATTACCGCTGTAAAATACGTTGACGTAATAAATGCTACCACGTCCCATTTAATGGAATTTTTTGGTTAATTCATTAGTTATAGAGTTTACCCATTAAAAGCATAATATTTCTTTAGTTGTTGGCACATTTTATGAAGCCATTTGATATACAGACAAATAAATGTGTCATAAAAATGTCACTTGGTAATAATGGATATGGTCAGTTACATAAGCGGTTATCTAACTACCCCACAGCCTTCACCCTGATGACCTACATCGTCCCGCGCCCTTTCCGCACCCTCCCCGCACCCCGTCGGACGCAATGACCGGGGTATTTATTGCTCTGTCTAGTCTTGTGTCTACCCTATTAGCCTACATGCTTCCTACTCCACGTATTAGAACAGTATTAGCATAAGTGGAAGCCTGCCCTATTTTCAAGAAGATGAAATACCGTAAATGTTTGCATTTAATTTAATTATGTATTATAAAATACAAGCTTTCGCCCGCGACTCCGTCCTCGTGGAATTTAAAAAAACAAAACTGGAAAACCTTTGTCTTTCGCCTGCGACTCCGCCTGCGTGGAATTAAAGAAACAACAAAGTAAGTAGCCTATGTTCTTCCAGACTATCCTCCATATCTATGCCTTTCATAGGGGTCCGTTCAGCTGTTTAGGCTACAAACATCCATCCATCTAAACTTTCGCATTTATAATATTAGTTACATGTAAATGGATATGAATGAGGAAACCGTACAGAGAGAGAGAGAGAGAATGTTTAAACATGTAAATAATCACGATTCAAACAGAAGTGTGCAAGATCAAAGTAATGAGGAATGTGCGACTATCTATGTGCTAATTATGCCGCCAACAAACATTTTATTACAAATATTTAATGTTGCTTAAACACTGATAACGCATACATCTTATTTTTACCGCTGGTCCTTAGCACATAATTGTAAATTTGCTATTTACTTAACGCTACGTTATGTTTCAATTATTATTTCCCCTCTTATGTACGATTATACTTCAGTGAAAAAATGAAATTACGATATTATTGGAAAATAACTGTAAATCACTTATTGGTAGATAAAAGCTATGTTACTTACTGAATATATTATCTAAGTAAGATAATATTGGCCTCACGGTTAAGTTCACAATTTATGGTAAAAATTCAACTTTTAAAAGCTAAAGTTTTGTATACTATAAAGATAAATTTCATATGCATTTAATAGGCAAAGATGTAGGCCTCCGTATCAGCTAACCTTGCCAAAGATCTTTGCGGCCACAAAAATCTAGGCCGAAGCGTCGAAGCTTTTTCAATGTTCGTATAAAACAGTTTTAAAACGCTTTTTACGACATCACACGTTTTATCGTCAAAGTCTACGTAAATGTGATTTACTGATAAAATTACCCACAAACGGCAAGATAAAAAATATGAAATCTAACTAACATTACAAATGCGAAATTTTAGATGGATGTTTGTTAGCGTTTGCCGCCTAAACTGCTAAACGGATCTCGAAGAAATATGGCATACATGTAGAGTAGCACACACATAAGCTCTTTACTTTTGTTTTTTGTTAAAACTACGCGGAAAAGTCTCGGTCGAAAGCTAGTACTTACATAAATCATTTATTTACTTTTATTAGTTATGACTATTTAAACAGTTTTCGAAATTCTATAGTCCTTTAGTTCGAAATAAATAGTCCTAATATGCTAATTTTAAAGAGACAGTTCCTATTATCTATGTTTAAATGTCCAAATGATCTTGTCTAGTTATTAGTTTGAGGGATGGCGCCCCCGGAGGAGTGCGGGGCGGGGGGGAGGCGGGGGTGTGCGTGGGGGCAGCGTGGCCCTCCGTGGTCCTCGGGCGCGCACTCCCTCGCCGGCCCGCGAGACGTGTGTACGTGCTAACGTTATCCCCGACATTCGTGTTACTGAAGTTTCGTCGTGTGATAGTGATGGTGCTCGCAGACTTCCTCACCGAGACCAGAAGGCGATGGCTAAAGGTTGGTAAACTTACTCTTGTAGATATGTAAAAAAATAATTATAAGTTATTAGTAATTAATCAAAATGTTTAATTAAAAATTAACTTATGTGTATTTTGTAGATAATCTTACTTAATATTATAAATGCGAAAGTTTAGATGGATGGATGTTTGTTAGAGTTTGTAGCCTAAACGTCTGAACGGATTTCGATGAAAGGCATAGATGTAGAGGATAATCTGGAAGAACACATAGGCTACACAGTTTTGTTTTTTTATCTCGCGCGAACAGAGTAGTGGGCGGAAGCTAGTATTTTTATAATTGTCAAAAATATTTACATAGCCCGTCAATTGTTTTTAAATGTTAATTTCGAATCCTTTTGGAATCCGATAGGTTTTTTGTGACAGAAAACAGTAATGTACTGCTTATTCTTTGATTGTTATTACACGTAACATTATTGCAAATTATCTGTAGTATGATTTAAACGTATAGTGAACTCTACATTTGCGAAATTATATTGCTTATGTATTTATCGTACATCTACATTGAGTATCTTTTTCCTTACACAACAATAGAACAGTTATCGCGCATCCTTTCCTGCTATTCAATTAATAATTTAAATTTAAAACATTACTTGTTAATCACTTTTATTAATAAAACTGCTTCGGTTTATTAGATAAAAGGGGGTGTGTTGCGCCATAACAAAGCCATCCATGTTATATGAGACACATTCATCACTACCTCATATGTTTACGTCTAGTTAATAATAATAAAACTTAACAACGTGACAAAATTTATGAAATAACGCTTGTTTACAACATACTACGTCCTACAAATATAAACAAGTTATCTAAATATTTAGTTCTAACGTAATAATGTTTATGAGTAGATAGGAACCACCCTTGACATATTTGGGACTTAATAAAGTCTGATAGTGAATGCTGTCTGTCATAGATATTATGAAGAGAAATTAAATATTATAATAATTACAGATTATTTCATACTAGCTTTCGCCTGCGACACCGTCCGCGTGGAATTAAAAAAATAGCGAGTATCCTATGTGTTCTTCCCGACTATCCTACGAGATCCGTTCAGCTGCTTAGGCTACTCTAACAAACATCCATTGATCTAAACTTTCGTATTTATAGTATTAGTAAGATGTACTAACATTTCACGTGATTACGTGAATTCCAACTAAGATCTAGGCTCGTAAGTGATATGGTTCACAACAGACTTATGGTGGGAATCAAACCCGTAACTAGTACGGATCAGTAGCCTTAACCATTTAGTTATTGGCGCTGGTATACAATAAAAGGATGGTAAAAATGTAACATTAAAAAAGTGTTAAAAAATTGCAACATAGTGATGTTGCTAAGAGTGCTTTGTTTTCAAATTAAGAACTCGTTAACACAAGTCACAGATAGAGTATGATTAGTAAACGTTTATGGCGCCAAAGTAAACGTCGTTAACTGACAATTATAACCTTAAATTATACCAATAAGTTAGATAGTGTTTGGACATTCAAAATATTTGTATGTTGATACAGCGATATCAACTACGTACTGGTATAATCGATTCTTACAATGTCACGTCCATTTTACTACGCGTAAATATGTGTAATATTTTCTACGGATTTTCCTCGACGATCACGTAGGCATTTTTCATGCATTTTCCTGCCTTAAAGTTTAGAGAACCGAATTCTAATTAACGATAACTGCAATATGCAACAGAAAAAGCTGAAGTTATGGTAAAAACACTTTAAAGAGTGTACGTGCAAACTTGCCTTGTTCTATACTAAAAAAAGAAAGCTCCCGAGTTCGGTTGTATATCGTCGATAGCCTAGTTAAATATATATTTTTAACTTTGTATACGAACCAGAATAGAATCGGGAATCGCCCGAATATATAAACTGATCCACTTAGTGTTACATGAATTAACGACTTGGCTTTTAAAGAATTTTTAAAACAATCATGTGGCTCGTTGTTACCATAGAACTTGGAAGTCACTCAGTTCGTTTGTCCTGTCACAAAATTTGGTTTCGGTCAATTATAATTTTCGTTAATTTCTTATTATTTTAGTTAATGTACAAAATAATTTCAAAGATTTTCATAATGTTTTCGTTATTTCCGTTAGTACCGCAGTGCTATGGTCGTTCTCGTTTCACATTGCGCCTGACCTCGTCAGCGCGCGCTCTCCTTGCCTTGATTTATCAAAATATTTTTACGTCTAATACCGCAATAATTCACTCTAACGCGAAGGAAGGACGAAACATGTTATCTTCAATGCTCTGTGTGAAAATTTGCATTTATCTAAAAATAGGCCGCCTCGCTCTGGATTGTGTAAACTATGGATTTATAAAACCAATATTTCAAGATAAGGAACTCTGATAAGATTAAGCAAATATAGTTAAGATCATTTAAATAAGGTAACAAATGTAGTATATATGTATAATACATATTGTAAAATTATCTAACATAGGCGTTTATAGAAAACACAATTTTTCCCGTAACTCTGTGCGGAATTAAAAATCTTTCTAAGTGAGGAGACTTTGCTCTACGTCTGTGTCAAATTTAATCAAGATCAGTTAAGCCGTTTTTGACCTTACAATTTCTAACAAACATCCATCCACCGAAATATTCGCTTTGATAATATTAGTAAGAAAGATTTAATCGCAAATATTTCTTTTAACTTCGTCTCAAAGAAAACATAGAAATATCTTTTTATCGTTCACTTTACAAATAGATTTCCAAGAAAAAAATATTTAACAAAAATACTTATAATTGTAATTCAAATATTAAAAAAAAATCTGTTACCAAAGTAAAATCGTGGCATAACTTTCATCTGTTGTGAGTTTTAAAAAGCGTTATTTCACTTCAAAGATTTCGTATTGCGACTATCAAAAGCCGAATGTCTATCAACACTTACGAAAATATCGGTGTTTAGGTTGAGAGATGTTTAGAGGCGGGCTGCGAGACGAGTGCTTGTGTATACGGAGAGCGAATTAATTTTTAACAGTGTTTGACGTACCCCAGCTCTTGCTGTGTCTCTTGCCCACGCATGAGGAAAACAAAAGCAAGTCAAAATGTTAGAACGACAAACGAAATGTAGGTATAGGATTTTAACTAGATAAATACATATTTATTATGATAAAAATATATTTATTTGTATTTAATTTATAATTACTACTGACGTAATAAAGTGCTCATGGCATTTATTTCTATAAGAAATGGTAGAATATTTACGTTTACATTTTTGTTCTTTACAAACTTCATTATTGTAACAGGGAAAATATGCCAAATTAGACAGTGTTAATAACTTTTTCATTGATAATAAACGCCAAGGACGTGTAACCGATGCTAAGACATTAACGAAGCGGTGAGGATCTCAGCAGGGTACCATTGTGTACTCAAGAAGATGTCCCTTATAAAGGAGCTTTTTGACTGCGCAATTCACAACTTTGGACACAATAGTCCGGGAGATACTTTACAATACGCTTAGCGGCGTTTTGTGAAGATGTTTATGAAGTGCTCTTATTTGGGAAGTGTTTGAGTATTATATTAATACAAGAGACGTACAGTGCGCTACAAAAATCTTGCATTGGATAACTTTAACAACAGTTATTATAAACCAAAACAAAAGAAAAATAAAATGCTATTTGCTTTATCGAGTAATACATTAATTTTAAATGTCAAACTTGTATTTTCAATGTCAATATTTTTGCGTGTACAAAGTCGTTATCGAGGCAGGAAATGTATCCCGTTTGTAACAATATTACATTACTTATTTTGATACACCACATTCATATTCGTGTTAAGCAAATACAAGCCTTGTTCAGTCCGTGATAAAGTTTTAATTCAATTCAATCGTTGATGTCAATATATTGATGCTCTCGTCGTCCTTCTGTACGCCTTTGGGATTGCTTGTTAATTTATTCTTGTATAAATATAGTAAAAAATACATGTGTTGAAATATTTAACGTGTTTGCTCAAGATAGCGGTGCGGGAAACAGACAGACAGCGCGACACACGATGTTTACCCACATATACAACGCGGCAGTGACGCGCGGGGTGTTACACAATTACTACCGCGGAATTTGCTCAACATCGGGCATTATCCTTGACGTATAATTGTGTATTCTATAATTGATTTCATATTTATAATAGTTTAAATAATTGAGAATTATTAGGTATAATTTTGTCATCCGCACCAATATCTGAATTCCCTTTTAATGTTATAATTTCGCAGATATATTTGCGAATAACACGTGCATGTCGATAGCGTGAGTAATACAAATATTCCCAGATATTTACTCTACACTCGACTGGACTTTGCGCACAGATTCACCAAGTAGCGGAACGGAGAGATGTTAAAACAGTAACGAGCGTATACAACCATTTGTCTACGCTAATGTTTAAATTACATATTTGGTTATTAAAACTTAAGGTCTAAGAGTTAACAGTGTACTTATTGTATTTCAAAATATCTGTAGATGATATTACTTCGTATTTTCCTGCGTTGGTTTGAGGACAGGTGTAGGCAGCACTCGATTTACCGTCGGGCTCTTGGTTCGTTGGGAGTTATTTATTGACGTTGTAAAACTGTCGATACATGAATATGCATTGTCTGGGTAACCCACAAAGTGCGTCTTAGCGTTCCATTTCGGTGCACTTTAATCCTTTTGTTGATAAATTGTTGGAAAACAAATAATTTTTCTCTTAGTTCGATGGGATTGTGATATAATTTGTTGCGTGATATAGGTTAAGTATGTAGAGATTTGTCTTGTTTCTTAATAATTTACAATAGTTTTTGACTTAACCCAAATAAACAGTCTTGGAGATATATTGATATAAAGAAATTCGAGATCATGTTAACTTCAACCACGTCTAAAATTCGATTAAAGAACTACATACTGTGGATTAAAAGATTTATTTATACCCTTTCACGCAGGCGGATTGACACTTTTAATTTATTAATGAAAGATTATTAATATTAATTAATTACATTCTATAATTACAACGTTTGTGCGCTTCCCGCTGGCCGAGCGCTCCGAGTTGTTTACCCTGTTATCGCTCAACATTTCTCCGGCTATCTGTTTGCACAAGACGTGTGCTGCGAGCTTTATCGTATTAGGACACGTACACACGGACGGTGCGCCATTAAATTGACAACAGTAATGTATGACAAGATAACGCCCGTAAACAAGAGAAGTAGACAGAAACCATGGACCTCCATTTGGCTGTATCCTGACATCTCTTTCGCTTTTATAGATGTCGGATGGTCTTGAAGCTAATGTTCTTGAGTATTTTAAATAAAATAAATTAGGCCGCCAAATAAATATAGGGTTGTTATAAATGTCCAACATCCAGAGCAATCTTTTTAATGTTAATTGTTTATTCTTAACATTCATTTATTTCTTCATATCATCATAGTAAGTTATATTTTTTTTAATATCTAGGCATATGTTTAAAGTGGCATTATGCGAGCGGGCCTTTGCCTGTCTGTACGCGGCCATTACGATGAGTAATGGCGGCCAATGATAGCGGTGCGCGGGAAAGGCGGGAAACGATATTGTTTGTTGCAATATACGCATGCCGTGCTTGATGTGCGAGATTTATTACAATATGTTATCTTTTTATTTTAATACATGACATCATTATTACTATAAAGGAAATGGATAATAACAGCTTATACTTACAATATGTTAAGAAAACAGTGTCGCTAATGAGAAAAAACTGCCGGGATCATTATACTTAGATAAGAATTACATAAATAAATATAATTATTTACTTTCGTATTTAATACTAGTATACACTTCAGTGATTTTTATATCTGCATTTTACCGCACCATACTTTATAGTTGCGTGTAAAATCAATAGAAGGTATTAACCAATTTAACACAGTTTTAAGACAGAACTTTAATATGTACATACCTATTCAGAACGTTGACCTCGTAAGGTCTATAAAAAAATTCTTTATTACCTTTCAGAAGTTGTAACGGAGCCTTCGGGTCATACCAGTAAATTGCCCTTTTATTAAAGCTTTTGGAGAGTTTTGTCTATTTTCATGTTAAGGCAGTGCCCCAAGTCATTTTTACACGGAGCACGTGCCTCTAAATGCTTTACGGAAAAGTTTCACATCGGCGTTTTTACGTGTTCGGTGTTTTAAAATCAAAATTACTCTGCTTACTTTGATATCTAGGTTTTAGTTTGAGATTAACGCCAATAGATTCAGAACTTTATCTATCAGTGAACAGAATGATTTTACCGAAAATCCCTATTTAAACCAATGCCAATGATACAAAAAACAGATAAAGCTCAACCGTGCGTTTAATCGCACGAATATCACTCTATGTCAGCCCCACCCTATTTGCTAATTCAATCAGTTTGTGGCGAGCGCGCGGACCCCCTACACCCCTATCAGCTTTTCTATCCGATTAATTCGCATATCATTTCCCACGATACTACGAACCCACAGTGTTTTATGTTTGTTTTGCAATAGCAAGTAAATAGTTTTAATTTGTCTCGCCGCGTGATCACCCGTTTCCACAACTTCTGCAAAACAGTGAACTGATTAAATTAATAATAAAATATTAGGGTCTTATCATAAAAAAACTTAAACAGCATTTCAAATGTATTTTATCTTACTCCTAGCTTACATCAACCCTTTGTACCGTGAAAAATCCGCGTCAGGCGCTAGACGCGGATTTTTGCCAAATCATGGCTATTGAAACAGTATGCGTAGGCTTGCAAAATGTGATCTAGAACAAAAAAAATGTATAGAAAGCAGTTTAGTGATACGTATTTATAACAAAACATTGATGTTTAAGATATCAAAGAAACTAGAAACAGTCTAACTAACCCCATTTTTGGGGTAATACAAATAAAATCTTTTAATAATGAAAAACTTCAAAATTATTCAAACTTAGTCCAAAATTATTTCACCAAAAGGACGCAAGTTATAGACGACTTAGTAGTTACTGTACTCTGACGTCATACTTTAATATTTCGCCGTCAAACCTGTGTTCAGTTGCTTACGTGTTTGTGTTAAAAATTTATTCACGTTTCAGCTGACCTTTGACCTGTTAGATCCAATGTTGGTCCAAATGTTTCGTGTTGGAATATAAATAGTTAACATTGGCGTGGACTTGGGGAAAAGCGTCACGAAAGTTGATTTTTTATTCCCTAAGACGTCATAGTAATAATTACCATTTTTCTGTATATTTTTAAATAAATGTACTTTGCATTTTTATTGCTATGTAATATGCGAACATTAATGCGGTTTTGTCTTGCGTGACTTTGTTACTTAGAGTGCTACGACCTTCTACGAAGTTTACGAAAGCTTGAATTTTGCTACGGCACGTGATAAAAGCACAGGTATCGGCGGCCATTAGTCGCGCTGTCACGCTTCACGCACACCCTTTTTAATGCAAACACGCTCGCAATAAAATATGTATTCTGTTGACTTTCTTTGACTCCAAAGTCATTCTTAATTTATAAAACATTCAAAATCCAAACTTCTTAGATTGTATATTAGTATTACTATTCACCAGTAACTTTGTGGATTATTCTATACTAAAATATCTTTGTCGCAAGAGGATAACTTCACTACTTAACACGAGCTTAAGCCAAAACTAGAGAGATCGATTTCAAGCGGTTGAATTACAATTGCCACGCCACGCAAATAATTAGCGACAGGTGGCAGTGGAGACTCCCTGTCCTGTTCCTGTTGCCCCCACATTCCCACGGGCTCGGCCGACACGGTTCACTACGATAACGCTACTCATTACTGAATTAATCGCGGGGTGAAACCTGCCACAGCTTGCAATGCTACTTTATATTAATATGATAACATATGCAGATTTTATCAGCGTTATCTGATAATAATTTCGATATCTTATTCATTATATTTTACTAGCAATGTACTCTAACTAAACTCCGTTACAATTATGTGTACAGTTCGTTAGTCGATGTTAAACAATCGAGGTTATCTTCTACAGTTAACCGTTAATTGTTATTGTGTTTACACAATCGCTGGCTGACAGTTAGCTCGTAAGTTAGACCCGCTGCGTTTGAGTTACGCCCGCAAGCAATGTTGTAATGGAATATTCCAGAAGAAATTGATATGTTTCGTAAATTACTGCCTCAGTTCGAAGACCGGCGATAGTCGAATGACGGTAGAGTTACAATCTTGCTATATCTGTTTGGATTCAAATTAACTCATTAATATGTATACTTACTGTTCTCCTTCACATGGTACTAGCCTCTAATATTACTAATGGAATTTCGAATGAACTAAGAATGAATTCTTGTATGGACTTATTTTCATGATAATATTCGAGTAAAATGATAAATATCAACATTACAGCAGCGCTAAAAAGTCCCTCTAAGTGTCGGCCGTGGCCCCGATGTCTGCGGCATTTTAGCTCCCAATTATCAACTTTTTACTACTAATCAATAATACAAGGTCAGCGAACTAAGCTCATATTTTGTTATTACATGAAATATTATTATGATGAAATTGAAGCAGTTTAGATTGAATCAAATAAATTGTAAATATTGTAATTCTGTTATTTATTTAAAAAAAAGCGTTCTTACTCGTATTACTTTTTATATGTATGGTGAAAAATCAATGATTCTACCTACGATGGAAGTCAAATTAGAAGAAGTTACTGTTCTTCTAATTTGACTTCGACTTCGCTAATCAACTAATTTATGCAGTTCAGAGGGGTCATAATTGACTGAACCCAGATTTATTGGCAGTTGACCCACATACGGCACGGACCACATCTACTATCACCTGGCTTATTAATAATTATTAGATAATAATGTGGCCCGACAATGTGACGACCTGTGACCTCAACACAGGTCACTAGGTCAGGAAATTAACGCTTTGATAGCTGTATTTATTATTCATTTACACAAAGGATTTACGCATAGGAATACAGCATAAGGCTAAGCTAAACGGTGCCTGGAACTAATGTGCTAGGTGAAAATTCAGCTGGTAATTAATAAGAATTCGACATTATAGATATCCAAAATTCTATAATTAACAATATTAATTTGTTTGCAGGCCTTCAAACTGTTCAAGGGCAACAAGAGTCGCAAGCCGGCGCGCAACCGCGTGTCTCCCGCGTTGGTGCGTTCACCGTCGCTAAGTGGCACGGTAGACGCCCGCGCGGAAATAGACGTGCGAAACTTCTGCCCGTGCCGCGCCTCCATGCCACCGTTGAACCTCGCTAACGAGTCCTACGATAACGCTTCACATTACAACAGCTATAATAGCTACAGTTCGCACAACAATAGCTTGCAGAGCTATTCCAATGATAGCGGCCGCTCGGACTCCGCGTACGAATCGACGCGGAGCAGCCCCGCACACGCCCGGCCTGTATGCTACGCGACTGTCACATATTTCAATGTGAACGACAGCGAGGACAGCTGTAGCATACATACTGAGTATACCACCCTGGATTATGACCCTGATGCTGAAGACGAGAGCAAACAGAACGAGATCAACGAGAGCATCGAACTGGTTAGCACGTTGTGAACGTATTCTGACAAACACTAGAATGTGTCTGTACGTGGTATACGATTTTGAATTGATAAAGGAGCGTTCCTACAAAGCAGTGCGAAAGTTGTAGAGCATGTATTTGTTGGACAAGTGTTGTAGTTTCGTGAGTATCAAATTTATATGTTAATTTACTGCCCACGAATACTTGGATATTCGTAACTCTATATTTAGTAACGAAATGTAGTGAAAATGGCAGTTTAATATTGATAATGGCCATAAGTAAATAATATAAATTATAACACCTTATACTGGATTGGAACTATGTGTAAAAGTGTTATATCAACCAATACATTCCATGAGTATACTAAATATTAAATCTGATAGAAATTATTTTAATTAACACAAGACGCTATAGTCACTTATTTAAAAATATTTTGAAAGTTCACAATATTCAGTTCCGTCCTAGAATTTACTGCACAAATATGCCATTTAATTAATTACTCGATAATTGTTTAAACAATAAACGAAATGTTTATTGATCATTTTATATAATTCACAATATATGAGCCTTACGCGTGTGCGTCGTTGTAATCCATCTTAACATATAAGTGTTAAATGACCTCCGATCATGTAAAGGTCATTTACATTTCCCAATACTAATCAAAGAATATACATTATATAACAAGTATTTCTGAACTGTAAAGCAATTTAATATTAAAATAATAACAAATTTTCTGATTCAAAATTATCTGGAACATATCACTTTTAGGTTCTAATATTTTGTGGTTATTTTGAACAATTGTATTTTAAATGTTTTTTTTAAATGAATGCATATTACAAAAAGTGTTATAACCTAACCTATTCTAAAGAACTATGTTCTTAAAAATGACCGTTCTTGAACGAACGCAGTAATCCCGCTAGAACTTCTGAGAGTTTAAGTAATGTACGGGAAGATTTTAATCCGGGAAAGTCGTTATAAATTTTAGACAAACCACAACGAAGTAATACAATCTCTTAATATCTTGAAAGTAAAATTTTAACTAAAGAAAAAGTATGAAAGTATTCAGAAAGTTTAAATTAAAGCTTAAAATAGTGTATATATTTATAAATTGAAAATTTTATAAATAGTTATTGAGAAACCAATGCATTTACAATAGATATTATTTCTGAATGTAATTAATTATACCTTAAGGCCCTGTCCCACCAAATTGTAAATTGTCTGAAAACAATGCAACATGTAAAATATGTAATGGAAATATCGGATTATGTTCCCTTATCTGACAGTAACGTCATTTTTAAGCTATCTGAGCCTCTATCAGCCAGTGGTGGGACAGGCCCTAAAAATGATAAAAATCCAATTGTTACATTTTTAATACCAAAGTAATTGTGATAAAAGATAATATGACTATGTATATAGTATAGATTTTAAGTCAGTTGATCTCAAAACATATATTTGGTTAGATAAGTTAAGATATTCTTAAGTTAGTAATTTAAACATGTACATATTGAAATTAAATATGAATATAAAACTTGTTTGTTTTATTTCAATTAGAAAACTTGTACCAAAGCCATGCTGTGAGATATATAAGTTACAAAAATAAATTACTGTGCAATATTTAAAAGAAACCTTAGGTTTTTAAAACTAAGAAGGGACAGGAAATAAGTCTTTCGTTGCAAATAAAAGCAAACATTACAATTCAATGAAAGTTAACAATCTGTTGAACTTAAATATACTTGTTTCCTGTTACTTGTTCTCCTGATATTTAAAAATGCTTAAAGTTAAAATCCCTAATTAGTAAGCATAGCGTCCACGTGCTCGAACCTTGTTTACAAACTTGTTTCTGTAAACCTTTCAAAAGTAGGGCACAGCGTAACAATGGAGATATAACGAACAACAAATATTTACTACAAGATAATTGAAACAGAAAATGTGTTTGTTCACATAGAGATCGTTTTAACTTTATTACTCATTTATCTAAAAGCGATAAAGACACAAAAAGTTACGTTTGCGAGATATTTTTCATAAATTTATCTCATTACTTTCTTATTAGAAAAAAACATTTACCAAAAGTATCTTTAGAATCTCAATTATTGTAACTAATACAATTTCAGCACCTTAAACTAAAATTTCAATAGAGGTTATAGTGCGTACTTTGTTAAACTCAATACAAAGTACTGATTTGGAATGTATTGTATCGTGACAATTAGACATTTTAGTAAGAACGGATGTCCTAGCACAATAGCAGACCGGTTAGAACCGGTTCTGAGCTGTAATATTGCAATTATTATATTTGCCGGCGACATAACGAGAGGCCATCAGGCACAATGGCCAACAATGCCGTGGCTTCAATAACACACAGCGCCGGTGACCAGTGGCCAGAGACTGCCAGTGGCCACCGGCCAGAAACAGGTTCCTTTTCAAATTGAATAGAGAATGGTGTAAATGTTGCCATGTTCATGTACTTTAACTGATTTATTATTATAAATTAATTTCAGTAGATATATCTTCACTTTTAATTTAATTGTTTTTAACTTTATCACGATTTCAAAGAATGATATTTATTCACAAAGTAACTTTCTATACTAGTCTAGAGTTTGAGAAGTATTTTTGTCTCTGAAATTCGTCCTCCTTCCTCTCTATCCCTCGAGACGTACAAGGCATATTAAAATAGCGTGCTATAAAAAAATAATTTATTGAATTTGTTAAAGAGGTGAACATGTTATTCTGGCAACACAGACAAGTAGCCGAGCTCTTATTTAGCGTTGCACTGAAATAAACAAATCCCGAAACAAGTTGAACAGGTTTAGGAGATTTGCTGAAGATCAATAGAGTGAAATACGGTCATCGTAAGGGATGAGGGACTGCATGCACAGTTACATTGTTGAAACAAAATATTGAACCTTTATTCTCCTCTCTCCTTTACTCGTCCAATAAGAGAGATTTTGCTGGGATTTACTGCCTCAACGTCAAGCATTTTTTGTTCAATATCTCAAATTAAGCTCAAAGGAAAATGACTAATCTTGTTATTGAAGTCAATTTAATTTTAGTTTTAATAAGGTTAATGAACATTATAAACAGAAAGTGAAACGAAATGTTTGACAAAGTTTCAAATAAAAAGCTTTTATGTGAACATTCTTGAATGCATACAAGCTTTGTCCGTCAGTGAGGTCAATGACCGAATTTGCGCAAGAATCGATTTGAACAAATCGATTAATCAATCCAAGTGCATTCAAATGTAATCTTACTTTGTTTATTTCTTTTACTTCCGGAAGTCTTTGTGGCAAAAGCAAACTCAATTATACCGTTTATATTATACTAACTAATTTTTGCTGCTCTTGTGGAATTACAAAAACAAAAATACTATTTTATTTTTGCTATGCTTATGTGTTCTTGCAGACTAACTACATCTGTGCCAAATATAATCGAGATCCGTTCAACAGTTTAAGTTAAAAACTCTGTACTTAAATCATTACGCTGCAATACTTTACTTCATATTTTTTATTGTTTCGTATGTTATCTACAGCAGTATGCCACACATAAAGGTTACTTCACACGAGCCAGCGAGTAGTGCAATGCCCTATAATTAAAAAAGATAATCACTAATGTCTATTTACGTGCGCTATTTATCGGAATAGAGCAGCGTGCGCTCTGTCACGTAACTACGCTACCATTGTCAATGAATTATTATAAGTTATGTAATTTATAAACATAACAATAGCTTATTTATGTCATTCTCTCTTTATTTACATTCCCTCTTTCTTTATTCGTACCTCTTTATTGAGTACATTCTAAGCAAATTTATCTTACGAATAATTATGTTTCTGGACGACTAAACAAATTAGTTAATAAATACACTTTATTTGTAATAATCACACTTTCTTTAATTGCTGAGGAATCTAAGAAGGTAGTTAAGTTTTTATGGATCTTTTCTATTTTTTT